GTTTCAGGCTCATGAGCGCGAACCCGTGGCTGGTGCTGGGCGTTGGACTTGTTGGTAGCATTGGAACTATGTATGGCACTATGGCAACACACCCTAGCAAGTAAGTATCCGTCGATCAGCATAGACTTTGGAAAACGAAAATACTGACCAATCTTAGCTACGTGCAAAAGTATGCCCTCTGGACCGCTTTCAATGGCACTCAGGCCCTCCTCTTGTCGCCCCTCTTCTTCATGCATCCCGCTATTCTCGCTCGCGCTGGACTGTACACTGCTGGAATGATGGGCTCTCTTGCTTTTGTCGGTGCTACCGCAAAGACTGACAAGTACATGTACCTCGGTGGTCCTCTTCTCGCTGGTGTCGCCATCGTCGCGCTTTCTGGTCTCGCTCCCATGGTCGTCCCTGCTACCGCTGCCCGCACTTTGATGTTCACCGAGAACATCTGGTTGTACGGTGGTCTCGCCGTCTTTGGTGGATTTACCCTGTACGATGTGCAGAAGGTGCTCAACCATGCCCGTATGGCCGAACGTGGTTTGATTCCTAAGGACCCTGTAAACGAGGCCATCTCACTGGAGTTGGACTTTATCAACATCTTTATTCGTATGGTGCAGATTCTTGGAATGCAGCAAAATAGGAGGAAGTAAAGGCATGAATTACAACATCTGTATATAACTGGCTGCGCATTGATGGTAGAAGTCTATTTTTAGTCTCGATGCAGTTGCATCATCAGCTCTTCAATCAGGCTGTATAGTACTCCTCTCATTTACTTAGATATGGTATAATACAAACGAAATAAAAAATTGAAACATACTCTAGAAAAACAGATTGTGTAGTCGTAGCACGCCGCATTCACGCTTACCTGAGCGATATCGTCTCGTAAATAACAACTCCAACAACAAAGGAAACTTGTAGAGTACAGTAATGCGGAAGTCCCTAGGACCTCAATACGCATAATTCTAAAAAAAACCCCCATCCCTCTTCTTTCCTCATCAAAGCATCCCAAAATGACTTGCCCGCCTCTCAACCCCATTTGCACAATCAATCCTGAAACTCCTCGAAAAAGGCCGACTAATCCGTATATTCTTTATTGCCCTCCTCCCCTTCCCCACCACATGCTGCTCTTGCACAGGCTGCACCTGCTCTGGCATCTGCGGCAATGCAGTCAACTCGTCGTCTCTGCTCTGCACCGTTGGCGCCAGTCTACTGCGCGCGGTTTTGGGCGGCGAGTGCAGGAGCGGTGGAAAGGGGATTTTGACATGCTCGTACTCGACTATGTGCTCTTTTATGTCGCTTCCTACTGCATCGTGGGGGAGTGTGGGACGGGTGAGTAGTGTTGCTTCTGAAGATTTTTTGGTGAGAGTGCGGTGTTTGAGGGCTTGTTGGGTGGTATTGCGAGGCGACTTGGAGGGGGGTGCTGGGGGCCGGGAGGATTTGTAGACTTCTGAGGCTTCAGAGGGGGTTTTTTGTTGTCGTTGGTGTTTTTGCTGTTGTTTTTGCGATTGCGAGTGTTGGGATAGTTTGGAGCTTCTTGGGACGGTTTCGAGGAGGTCGAAGTTGAAGTTGAAGCCGGAGAAGCGGCTGGGTGATTTCCAGAATTCGGGTTTGCTGGTGGGGGTGACGGACAGGCTGGATGCTTGGTGTTGGGCTGCTGGATTGACGAGTATCTTTTCTTCTACAGGTTTGGGTTGAGAAGTTACTCGTTGCGTTGTAGCAGTGGTAATGGTGGTGCTTGCGCACGATTCTGGGGCACTGCTGTTACTCTTGTACAAGACATGTTCGAGCTGGAGGATCCGCGACTGCATGTCGAGCATCGTTTGTCTTTGCGTTGCAAGCTCCAGTTGGGCGTTCTGGACTATTTCCACCAGCATCCGATTTGTTTGTCGCAATTCATTCTTGCTCGAGGAGACATCTGAAGGCCGCTTTGATCTCGACGGCTGAGGCTTCGAATGCGAAGTTTGATACGCGGCAGCGATGGAACCTTCAGTGCCACTAAGCAAGTCAAGCATTGTTGCACCCGATAGATTTGCCTTGTGGCTGGAGGAGTGCTTGGAGGATTTGGAGTCATTGAGATATTTGGCATAGTCGAGGTTTGAAGTATTCAGAGAATCGATGCGAGTGTCCATTGCCTGAGGCGATTTTAGAGACAAGAGGAGACAGAAGAGAAACAGTGACAGGCGAGAGAATTGGCGTCCGCTACCTTCAATAGCTATTTCGGGGTTTCAGGAAAGAAGCAATGTTTCCTCGGTTATTTGCAATTATCACACACTGGCTCTTCACACTGCTGCCATTCTATTCGTAAGCATGCAAGATGTTAAAATTATCGATGGCCGCCGAAGCAGACTGGGCGCTGCTATTGGCATGGCTATTGGCCAGATAATGGTTTTCAGGCTTTATTTCACCGCATAGCGCCATCCCCAGAGCGCGACACGGTAGATAAAACAATGTAAGACAGTGGTGTCGGGATTGTCCTGGCGTTGCGTGTTTCAGTGGTTGGGTGTTGCTGTTTCAGTCAGCGACGAAGGAATGGCTAGTCGCGAGCAAGTGACGAATCAGAAACAGCGCTATTTCTGCCTGGGTAAGGAGCACACCTCTCGTTGCTCTTTTGTTCAACAGTGCTTTTGTACACCATGTCTTGTTTTGCCAGAGCTGCATGAGAATATTTCTTTTTGCTCGTTTACACGGTATACGATGGCATCATACTAAGCGACAATCATTCAGGAGTAATAACTGAACATGGCCTAAGGACGCCAGGGCTAGACCAAGTAGGCTGAAGCACTTACAAAATAAATTCTCGCTAAACCAACATCTGAAGCCTGACCCTTTTACGAGTCCATTTGTCTCTAGTGGTACGTGCGACAAGGTTTGGTGCTTTCCCCAGGTTATCCCTTGGTAGCTTTGTCCCTTATCCGCGATTCTCTCTTGATCATCCAACTTTCATCCAACTTTCGTCTAATGGGAACGTCGCATGAGTCCTGGGCGAGGCTTTTTGACGATATGTATAGTGGAATATTGCCCATACGATTCTGCTTGTTGACTCGAAAGGCCATCTTTGGCGGGTGGAATTTTCAGTTCCATCAGCGTGTGAGACAGCACAGCTAGCTGACGAGCGCTAGTAAAACAAAGATCTAAGAGCACATTCAACTCAGAGCGAAAATAACACCCAGTACTTAGATTTCAAGATGAAACCATCAGGAACAGATGCTGTAAGGACTCTTCGATTGATTGGCGCTGAAAAGCCACGTTTCGTCTTTTCATTTGCCTTGAACATCCCCCACCTCTAGCTTCCTTGTGTCTTTGAGTGATTCAAGTCATACAGTGATGTTTGTTGTTCTAAATTGAGCCTCTCTCTTCAATATCGTCTCCAAGAAACTTGTCGCCCAAAGCTTACCGAAATCTGCTTCCGGTACCTTGAGCCCTGATTCTGGGAGACAATCATTTGTAGTGGGATTCTAAATGCATCCAATCGAATCAACAAACCAGACACCTGATGTCAACACAGGTGATATATATTCAGGTGAATGGCAAAATAATATTGGTGGAAGAATAGTTACCAAGCAGTGACGTCACGTGACAAGTAACTTTCCTGCGTCCATGTCCGCAGTCTAGCAACCTGCTTTCCAGCCATCTTTAACCCGTAACCAATTCATCAGCATATATCATTGTGCTTCTTTCGCATTTCAAACAAGAACGTAGGTCATCTCGAAAATACGTGGAAGTTGGTCCGCTCCAATTATAATTTGGTTTCTTGTTGACGTCTCTAGGGAAACATTCGTCATCTCATCATAATGCCGATTCAACAGCATACCAGAGAATCACACTTGACGCGACAAAGATGGCAAATTTCTCCATCGCACATTTTGATTTGAAATTTGAAATCTCGACAGATAAAACAACATCTCTAAAAGAATATACAGGAAGTCAAGCAGGCTATCCCCTCTAGAAAAGTCCCAACTCAACTTCGTCATACTCATTGATCACAATAACTTGAGAACATACGTGCTCTTAGAGACCTGGTAATAACCGAAGTATGGGTCGGTAACTTTCACATTTTACTTTCGGTGTTGATGCGCGTGAATCTTACATGCCCTCATATACGCCATGAGCTTCATGATTGTGCGGTTACCCTACCAATGCACAGGTAATTGGTAAAAAACCATGGCTTGACTATATTTTGCACTTAATGACGAAAGTCCAGAAGTTAGATTCCACACAGCAGCCAATACAGTCCAGGTCTATCCCCAGCAAACGCGACCGGTGCCAGCATCACGAGCCCGGTCCATATGCTGACACAAGCTGTGCCGAGTGAGCCGCCACATATGACCCTGATGCTTATATGCGTTCTCAGTCCCCCTTTTCCATTAGCATTCTGATATAGACCACTACCACCATTCGACTGTAAGCTTACCTGGTTGCATGCCGGCAGTATGCCCCTGATGGCCAGCTCGACCCGGCTTGGCTGGAAAGGGTTCCTTGGGTGAAAATCATCAATTTTGCATCGGGCCCTTCTAACGCAGGGTTAACACATCGGAAAACAACCAAAGTAGAATAGGTCTTTATGGCTTCATATATTCGTCTTCGTGTTTAGTTTACAGTGTGAGCGTCTGATCCATGGACGGAGTTATGCGACCACATCCAACTACGAGTATTAAGCGGATGCCTCCTGTTTATGCCCAATAGTCAGCAATTTCTACAGAGTATTCTATATACCAGGATCACGGCTCTCCACGCTCTCAACTGCCGAGGCGAGATACTAAACGAACGACAGCGTAGTCGCTGGACGTGCACGGGAATGAGGAATTGCCGCTGCCAATTGTGGTGAGGGTATTACAACCTTGTATCTCAACGACGATTTAAGAGTAAGCACTAAAGGGAATATGGATTGAATGCTGGGGTGGTGGTAATACAGATCTGCACCTCCATAACTTTAATGACAACAATGCACGGGGGAATGGACGTATAAATAACCAAACTACGTAGTGATATAATAGAAAGAATATTGTTCTCGTTTACGAATTTGCGCTGTCATCATGGTTCATCTTATACCAGCTCTCACTGCTGCCTTTCTGGCTTTCAATGTATTTGCACACGGCGATGTCAACAAGGAAATTTTGAGAAGACAAGCCCATCTCAACCATCCTGAGCGTCGAAGCATCCTGGATTGCAAGCGGAGTCTTGTAGATTCCGGATGGGTCAGGGAGCAGCACCAAAGGCGCGAGGACAGACTGCATGAGCTGCGTGTCGAAGCCGGCTTTGCACAAGCACACGAGTTGGTTCGTCGCAACCCCATAGAGGTCGAATTAAGCTATGGCAAGAAGGGAGCATGCACGCTCGATCCCGAGCAAACCGAAGGTCCTTTCTGTGAGTTCCTAAATCCAGTAGTCGAAAAGTATGTCCGCTAATCCATCTTGAGATGTTTCCGGCGAACTCGTTCGCAAGAATATCTTGTCTGGCCAGATAGGTCCGAAAGCACATGTCGACATTAATTTGATCGACGTACGAAATTGCATGCCCATCGAAGGTGCTTATGTCGAGTTGTGGGGAACTAACGTGACTGGTGTCTATTCTGGTGTACAATCCACTGCCAACGGCAATGGCTCCCCAGACTTTTCTTCAAATGCCCTGCGTGGCATACAACCAACGAATGCTGATGGCACCGCTTCCTTCATCACACTCATACCAGGACACTATGGCGGTCGTACAAATCATCTGCACAGTAAGACTCCCCATTTGCACCTCTATGCTTCCAGACTAATGATCTTAGCTCTGGTTCATCATGACGCCAAACTCCTCCCTAACAACACCATCATAGGTGGTACCATCTCGCACGTTGGTCAATTTTACTTTGAGCAGGATTTTATCAACGACCTCGAAACATTCTACCCCTATACCTTGAACGAGCAATATCACGTTTTCAATGACCAGGATTCGCTCTTTCTCTACGCTAATAAAAGCGATGACGACCCCTTCATGAAGGTATCGAAGATTGGCAAGACCTATGCGGATGGATTGTATGCAACGATTGACGTAGGCATCAACCATCACGCAATTCAGAATTGGACGTCTCCTGTCGGGAAGTGGACCTCCGAAGGTACGGTGCCTGACCCAGATAGTGTATACGCGGGATGGCCACGTCCCGTGAGCGCACCTGAATCTTCGCCTACACCATCACCATCGCCATCAGCCTCCTCATCTGCGTAGAATGGTGCCGTTCATGGTTATAATTTGCAATATGACAAGCCGCTCAAATACAACATGACGCAAGCACTAGTTCACTTTTTCCATTCAGTTCTCTTCGAGCGACTAAACTTTTGATACCGCACATAGCTAGCTAATAGAACAAAATAACTTATGGCTTATACGGATGATCGGCGTTACGGTGTTCAAGATCCCTAGCTCATATCTCCTTGCCTTCAAGGCGTGTAATATGACAACACAACATGGCTGGAGATACAGGGACACAGTGGGCGAAGTGCCGAACTCAGGGGCAACTACAGAGTACCTGTAAGTATGCCAAGACCTCCCCACATTGACCCTCTGCCTGCATTATGGCCCGCTCCGATTCGTGCGGCGGAGACTGTTCCCTTTCCCCACACCATGTTGAATTCAACAAATGTATCGAGTAACGGTTGAGCCGGGTCTCTATGTTCTGGCCATATGCGATACGTGAGATGCGTCTCAAATCCCATTAGTGCGTATTTGCTGCTCAGACGCTAATGATTTTGTTGCACAAATCTCCCTTCGCCGCTCCTACAGTATGACATGAGTTTACTATATGGTGATGTAGCTGTAGGATGGGAATGCGGGGATAGAGTTGCAGTGGATGCATTACGCTGCTTTTGATCGATGAGCCCCTGGTCTCTTCCCTCCCTTTCATGATGTCTCCACGTATGACTCTCTTTGCTCAACGCGGGTCTACACCAACAGAACGGCGACCCAGCATCACCCAGCTGACTGGCGATTACAATTCGAGCGTTATCATATGAACAAATCGTATACGGATTTTCTTGGTAAAGTACCTCAATAGGAGCGGTTAATGCGGGTCTATTCAAGCTAATCTCATTACAAAGATCCTCGGTCCTAGGTAGGGTCTGCTGAATTTGTACTAGACGACGGATACATTTGACATAATTACACCCACAGGCCTAACGCGTCCATGTCTTGCGTCACTGTCCTTTCTAGCGACAATTGTTCCAATTAAGAGCCGGTTGCGCACATGTCACAGTCTACAATTATATCTTGTCAATAGTATTCTTATACAAAGTCCCGCTCTGAATTTCTGCTGCGTTCACACTCCTGCTCAACTTCTAAATCACACCTCCTATCTGGTATGACGAAAATAATACGCTTCGCCTGCAATGTCCTTCCATTCTTTGCCCTCACGAGCAAAATCAGCGCAGAGAACAATGACCCAGGTCTATTCGGACCGTTTCCCGACTGGCGCATCGAGTATAAATCGTTGATGCATCCCCCTCTGGGAGAAACCCCCGCTATCTGGCTGGCAGCACAAAGTATCTTAGTCGAGTTGTTGGGTTCATTCGAACCCGTAGACTATGGACATTGGCCTAATATCAATCCCGTTGGCAAGTTGCCAGGAGAAAAAGCAGGCGAGTACCTGGCTTCCCTTTTGGTTCCTGAGGATGATGTCAAATCTTTCTTCCGCCATCCACACAACAGCACCTTAATCTACCCAGCTCGTATCTGTACAGATATTATGAATTCCTCAATAAAGAAGATGAATAAGGTTCCTCAGACGAGTGATGTGCTCGACTTCGGCGCAAGCTACATCTTCGGAAATGGTTTCATTGTCGGATTTTCAAAATCAGTCTGCAAGGTCCTGAACCCTGATATGGTTAAGAACAAGAAGAAAAAGAAGAAGAAGAAGAAGGGTAAGATCGATGAACGAAAACTCAATACTGCGCTCAACGCCGGGTTCAATAAACTCACTAACGCGCTTTTGGTTGGTTTGGGTACTCATGGAACGGACACAGCTCAATTCGTATCTCAATTAGAAGCACGCCTCCGATATATCGACCACTCTCAAAATCTGGAAAGAACTTATGGGCGTCTCTTGAGCGACTTCACATCCCAAACAACGCAATTTGCCTCGATTGCAGCTCACCAGCCTAATGCGTCGAAATCGCTAAGGGAATTCAACAAGCTGAGCTGCAATGCTTTGTCGCAACTGCCGCACAGAGACGTGAAAATCAACCTTGCACAATGGCACGAGACCGAGAACGCGACCGCTATGGTGGGAATGTTTGCCGAGATTTCTATTAAATCTCTGGAGTTTGCAACGCCCATCGGTGGTAAAATCAAACAGGCTGCACAAAGCGCGATAACGTCGATGTCAAAGGTGCTTAAAGAGTTTGGAACAGTACCATACAGTATCTTGAATGGGAGATCTCTGGAGGACTCAGAGCCAAGGGTTCAGTTGACGAAGAGAAAGAAGGATGTACCTGTGACCATGCATGAGACGTCAAGTTCACTACTTCCTGTATCGTCTACAAGCTTTTATTCTGGGCCTGAAATGGCATCACACCCAAGTACCAGGATCAAAAGTGCCACATTCGAAACCGGCATTACAAATTCTGGCAATTCTCAACCATCTCCTACAGCCACCGCGAACCCTCAAGACGAAGAACCGCAACCCACACCCACTCTCCTCACCACCTTCGCGAAGCGACCACCCTTCCTCCTCAACTTCCGGCACCTCCACCCCTTCCTCGATAAATATCCCACCCGCACCGTCATCGCCACGCAGTCTAGACTCGGTGAAGTCATGCCTACACCCCTCAATCCCGCACAGCTCGCCCCAGGCACCCGGCGTCCTGGCCTTAGCATCCCCATAAGCATAACAACTGTAACCGCACTACCTACCATTGCAAGAACCATGCCGAGGTTGGAAGTGGTGGTGAAGAGTGAGACGGCGACGGTGACGACGACGAAGACAATGAAGATTACGAAGTGGCATACCAGGACGAAGACGGATTATCAGTGCCCATGGTACGGTTAGTAAGTGCCATCGGGGATTTCCGGATATGTGTTGGTACAATATGGTGGGACAGTAGGTTGGTGGGATGTGGGTGGAGGTGTTTGCGTTTTTGGAGGTTCCCTTTCATGATGGAGAAAAGAATGAGTTTGGATGGTGAGGATCGAGTTGTTGGAGCTTTGTTTGCTTGAGGAGTTTATTTATTTATTGTTTATAGATAGAAGGCTCGGATGTCTCTTCCTAGACTGACTAATGAATGAGATCTGACCGTTTCCTTTTGCATGCACTCTTGCTGAATGTGGAGTACATTCCACTCGGGGTTGAACGCCTATGGAAGATCTAGCAGCTATCTATTTATATTCAGGGTCTTAAGTCATGGGGGTATCTAAAGGGTTAACGGTCCAATGTTCAATCGATACATCACCTAGATTTTTCATCTCTACCTGTAGAAATCGTGCCAGATAAAACAGCTGCTACTCGGCGCTGCTCCTTTCCGTAAAGGCACTACATACGCTCATTGATATTGTACACTATCAAATCCTTAACCATAGATATCGTGAACTAAACTAGCTTATCGCCGAGAGCGAGTTATCGAATAAAAAACATCCTTCGAAGCAACTAGAGTAACTACTTGATACAGAATCTCGCGAAATTATTTTCTAAAACACCGCTCAAAAATCATACAAACACAAAACCCTAGCATTTCAGCCCCCCACCCCCTCACAACTTCGCCTCTACCGCCACTGCACTCTCCTTCGCCCTTGCCCCCGTAAAATCAACCCCAGCCGACGGCTCCACCGTCCCGCTCTTATTCAAAATTCTCAGCTTCCTCAACCGCGAAATCGGCTCGTCATCATCCTGCTCGCGGATATAAAACGCCCAATCAGCCGTCGGATCAATCTCTGTCTGGGAATACCCATTTCCCAGCCAACTAAACCTATTGCCCGTATACTTGATATCCCAATCATCCATGCGCAGCTCCATCAGTGCTTCGATATAGTGTAGCGTTGAACCCGGCCAGAGCGCGGTAATGGGGCCGTCGGGACCGAGGGATTTGTACCATGAGCGGCAGGGATCGTTCCATACTGTCTTCTTCATGAATTCGTCTTTGAAGGCGATGAAATCGTCGATGGCTTCGGCTTTTGGTGCGAAAGAAGATATGTTGTGTGTTTGGAAGCGGTCGATGAGCTTGCACATGTAGTCGGCTTGGGCTTCGATAGCGCTTAGGACGGGTCCGTTGCCGATAGGGCAATTGGGGCCGAGGAAGATTAGGTAGTTGGGGAAGTCGGCGGCGGCGAGACCGAAGTAGGAGCGTGGTTCTTTGGCCCAGGCATCTTGGAGGTTGGTTCCTGAGGGGTTTATGACGGGGAAGCGTGGTTTAAAGGATGTGTTGAAGCCGGTGGCGCAGATGAGGACGTCGACGGGGTATTCGTTTCCGTCGTCGCAGAGACAGCCGCGCTCGGTTATTTCGTTGATCTCGCCGTATACTGTTTGTACGTTTGGCTTGCCGAGAGCTTCCAGATAGCCCACACCGGGTGTTAGTCGTCTACAGCCGGCTTGCCAATCTGGAATTAGGCGCTGCTTGAGGTATTCGTCCTGTAACTTTTCCGACATTTGCTCGCGGAAGTGGGCTTCGGTTTCATTATGTATGTGTGTGTTCTTGAGGAAGATGCCAAATTGGCCATTGAGTCCTCGCTCAACATCCTTGCGGTAATCGCGCAAGACCCCGGGTTGTGTAGCAAATGCTAGCTTTTCACTGTCAGAGAACATATGTTGCTCAAGACCCTGGACAGGAGAAACCCAAGCTGGCTCGCGAATGAATGTTGTCACTTTCTTTACATATGGTTGGATTGTTGGAAGAACTTGGATGCCGGAAGAGCTTTGGTGGTGTTAACGTGTGCTAGGTACTGGAAAGTAAAGAAGACTTACCCATTTCCAATAAGACCAACGTTCTTGCCTCTCAGGTCAATACTCTCATCCCAATTTGCAGTGTGCAGTAGTGTGCCTTTGTATTTTTCCAGACCTGGTATAGCGGGCCATTGCCAGTTGTTCAGAATGCCTCCAGCATTCACTAGGATATCACAATGGTCATTTACAACCCGGCCAGTCTTGAGATCTTTGACTTGCACATTGTAGCCTCCTTTTTGCTGGTTCCATTGTGCATCAATAACCTGGTGTTGGGTCTTGACATATTTGTGGAGTCCAAACTTCAATGCAAAGTCGTTAAAGTATGTGTATATCTCTTTGGAACTGGCGTAGACAGCCGACCAGTCAAGCTTCGGAAAGAAAGACCACGTATAGTTGTGAGAAGGTACATCACATGCGCATCTGCAAGCGCAAATTAGTAATCGCCTTGCTTTTCCACAGATGGGTTGGTAAGGGCGAGTTATGGGGCCAGAGTAGCATCGTCCCCGCACCCAAGATCTTAGCCGGTACTTACCCAGGATATCGGTTTTCATACCAAGTGCCGGATACTTCGGGATTCTTCTCATAGACCTGGAGACTGTAGTTGGAAAAATGTCTTTGCAGCTTGTATGCCATCAAGAGGCCCGAAGCACCGGCACCGATACATATAACGCGGACATGGCGCTGCGCGTGAATTGGTCCTTGTAATCGATATCGAGCATCCGATTCTGGACTGACTGATGATGGGACGATAAATCCGTCTGCCATTTCGTGAAGGGGTTAAATGACTTGATAAAGGAACCTTGGGGGAAGATAAGATGATCAACGGCTTCGACTGGAGATACCCAGGTTCTTAAACTCTATTGTTGTGACAGGACTACAACGTCCTGTTCTCAGAGAGTCAGGCATGCGATCGATCGCTCCACAATTCGAGTCAGACTAGTCATGCGTCAGAATCTGGGGTTCGGCTAAGTGCATTTGGATTCGTACCGGGGCATCGTTTAGTGTGAATGACTCGTAATCAGAAGGAAAGACGCAAGTGACATCCTGTAGCATGACGTGGCAAACGATTTCCGTAGCTAGGTAATTATTGCATGACATAGCAACTCGAGAGCTGACCCTTGAAAGCTGGACGGAATGTCAGTGGGCGATTCATGCGAGCCGGGGATAGTCAGCACGATAGATTTGTTGGAATATAGTGTCAAATGTAAATCCCCAAGTGAGGTGGAGCTAGTAGTTACAGTTGGAGCGGAGAAAACAAGTCTGCCGAGATGACCCCGACTTTGGTGAACGTTGTTAGCAAAGACTTCTCGTACATATGCAGAAGATATGATATTGTATGATTGAATGGTCAGCCAAGGACTGGATGAATGCACTTGCGCCACTCTCTATGAAACTGTGTATCCGCCATCTGCAACTAAGTTGGCCCCAATCATGTAACTAGCCGCATCGGAATGCAGAAACGCTATGCAATCGCCAATCTCTTCCATTTCTGAGTAACGATGAATTGGAACCTTCAATCTCTCTTGCTCTATCATGTCGCCTTTGCTCATGGTCTCCTGGACCAGCGGTGTCAGCACATAACCAGGAGATATGGCATTGATTCTGATGCCTTTGTGGGCGAATGCGAGCGCATCAGATTTGGTAAGACCGACAACTGCATGTTTGCTTGTAGCGTATGCTGTAGCCGGGACATTAAGCGGCGGTGCTACCACACCGTACATGGATGCTACGTTGACGATGGACCCCCGATAGGAGCGATAAGAGTCTGACAATTTGTCTTGCTTGAGCATCTGTCGGATCTGCGCGCGCTGACATTGCCAGACAGCAATAGTATTCACAGACACGATATTCTCGAAATCGTCTCTTGGTATTTGATCCGATGTCTTGATCATGCCGCCGATTCCCGCATTGTTGACCGCGTAGTCCAATCTACCGAATTCTTTGACAGTCTTTTCTATGCTATCATCAACAGCTTTTTCGTCGGTAACATCTAGCTCGAACTCCTTGACCAAGACATTAGGCGATATTCTGTTTAGTTCGCTGACTGTCTTTGATACGGGGTTGCGATCGACGAGGGCGAATGAGCGTACTCCCTGCCTTGCAAGAGCATATGCAGTGTGCTGTCCGATGCCTTGATTGTGTTAGCCACAAGAACTACGAGGTCTGACGCATCAGTCTGTTGGACATACCAGAGCCAGCACCAGTAATGTATGCAACTCCCTTCAAGACGAATGACATGGCAACGAGATTAGTGTAAAGTTGCAAATTACGCGCTTTTGAACAGATATTGAATTCCAGTACGTGTACAAGCCATCGTTTCCCCATCTGTATTCACTACATCCCCGCTACTGGATTAGGACTAGCATTTTACAAGCTGCAACTTGGAAAGTTGTTCGTATGTACGGATGTCGGAAAGAGGGTGATGCGCAACGCTGCAAGGGCGGCTCGCGCGGGGTAAGTGTGCTTGGGGAAGGTCGGATGTTCTTTTCCCGCTAATTGTGAGCCTGAATGAGCCTGTTCTGCTGCATATATGCAGTTTATTTTGTTGCAGATGGAGTAAGGCGATCATCAAACCACGTAGGTTGAAAGCAGCAATCGATCAGGATGAATTGAAGTTGGCCGTGTCTACCACGTGGTGTGACACAGTAATTTCGCGTACATAGTGGTTCCAGTACTATGCAAAGATGTTTGGTCAGTACTGATTTCAGAGTTCCAGTAGAAATTCCATCTGAAACTGCTTTGGAAAATCACAAAAAGGGGTTGTTGGTTGCTGCTATGGCCATCGGTGATGCACGTGACTTCGTGTCGCTAGCGCGGCTATGCAAAACATCCACCGCCACACTCCCTATACCCTTGCCCACATCCCCCTCATCAACGCGATGCGCACCCCACAATGACACCAACCCCGCACAGAATCGCACAAACCTCGACCGAAGTCAAGCGGCAGCACCGAAAAAATGGCCCACTTCTCAATGAGCGGCAAAGGAAGCAGCTGGAGCGTGAATTGGAGTTGAACAAGCGGGTCACATATGCGCGAGAGGCCGAAGAGCGCCGTAAAGCCGCGAAAAAGAAGCGCACAGAGAAAGAAGCAAAGGAAGCCGCAGCCAGAAAACAGCTGGGGGTTGGATTGGCGACACAGTTGATTGGATACAGCCACACTCAGGCGCAGCTGAAAAATGGGATGGAAGCTTTTCTTGGGTTGAATAAGAAAAGAAACGATGACGAAAAACGCAAAAAGGAGTTAGAAATCACAAGGAAGTTAGAGGAGGCGGTTTCCAATCTGGAAAAGGAGCCATGGGATGATGATGAGGAAGACGAGGATAAGGACCTTGGCCTGCCTCAGTCGAATGCTTCATTGGGCGAACAATGGGCGGATGACGACTTGGACGATGACGACTTGGACGATGACTCTCTTTTGGAAGCACACAACCTATTCATGTCAGATTCAGCTGAGGAAACTACCACGAACGTACCGCCGCCACCACCACTACATGCCACTCAAGTCACACCAGGACCGCCACTCGCCTCAATTACGCCAAAGCCTGGCCCTGTCAAAGAGGACCTCGATTTTACCCGCACCCATGGGCCCATAAACAAAACAGTAGAGGCTACCCTGGATAGACTGGCTGGATCTCTGATAGAATTCCTCTCCCAAGATGTCTCGTTGAAGACACCCGAATGGGACCCGGCTCTAGGGTTATTGCATAAACTGAATCCTGTTGGACTACCACCGCATCGCCTACGTATCAAAGTTGGCTGTGTTGTTACTCTACTTAGAGACCTGCATACGAGTAGTCAGCTATCGAAGAGTCAACATCTTCGTATTCTACGATCGGAGAATGACCGGGTGGAATGTTTGGTCTTGGATGGACGGCTAAAAGGCACTAAGACATTCCTTACCCGAGTTCCCTTTTGCGCAAAATATAGGAACTTGGACCAATACCCATTCCAACGCACACAATTTCCCATTTGCGTCGCCATTAATTACACATCATCTCAACCGCCACGGGACACGCCGCAAGCTGTGTTCAAGCTATCTTCTATTCCAGATCGAATACTGCCTCCTATTTCATACCGAAAGACAACACTGCCAGAGTTACGGGCAAAGCCTCAAGTGAATTTGAATCCAGACTTCAAACTTCCCGGTCTTCCAGCGTCAAAATCAACCTTGTCGAACATTTCGAACACAACTGCTGCAGATACATCCTCAAAGACGCCCGCATTACCAGCGCCAACCGATTGTTGGGATGACTTCTTTGAAAGTAGTACGCAAATTTCGCGTGAAATCGCCTCCGAAGCAAAACCCAAGGTCATCGGAACCAACACGACCTCTATTGCCACTTCACTTTCCAATGTTGACGACCTTCCCCCCATGTCCACCCAAGACCTGAACTTCTCTCTTGACGATCTGGATGACGAGCCTATTCATAGTGTCCCTAATCAACCAAAACTCGAAACTACTCCTATGGCGTCGAAAATCATACCGACAGCACTTCCAGAGAGATCACCTTGTCCACAAACCCACAAGACGACTCAAGTTGCACCTGTGTCACCACGAGTGGAGCCATTAGCTGTGTCATTGAAGTGTGACCCCATCATGACATCCACACATACGCCAACACGCGCGTCTGCAGTCACGAATAGTATCAGACCTCTGATGTCTAATAAGAAAATAGCCGGAAAATGTTGGAATCCAGGGCCTTTTGTGACAGGTCTTGATGCTGAGCTTGCAAAGCTCAGAGCCTCACAGTTGCCGAAGTCAATGTCTGTGGCTAATGCAAAGCGGAGAGCCACAGCAGCGCCGTCTAAAACGCATGCACCGCCATCGAAAAAGCAATACGCAGTCGAATCGCATCCTACCTTGGCCTCGAAGCCGGCTGCCACGACAGCAACGAACACCTCATTTGACGACTTTATCATGTCGACTCAAGACGCGGCATCCTTTTTTGACGATGACGATAATTTAAGCTTTGGGTCGCCGCCCATTGCAGTATGAATAACGAAACCGGGGCATGTGTGGATGATGCCAACATGAACTACCATTTTAGGCTTTGGCTATGATACCCTTTTCCTATCTTTCAACAACTCGAAGAAACAATAGTATTATATTGTTCTTATACATCTTACTTTATTCTTACTAGTTGCACAATATATGAGTGATGTACCTGTTTAATGTCGTTTCATCCACCTAAAGAGAAGAAACGTCTTCTACAATATCCCCTCAAACTCCTCCGGCTCTAATCCCCACTTCCTACACAGCTCCCTATACCTCTCCGTATACCCCTTCGCCTTATCCCTAAACCCCTGCGCCGTCTTCATCTGATCCCTTCCAACCTGATGCCTATGCGCGGAATCCGGGCCATCCGCAACCCTCACAAACCGCGCATACGTCCAAATCTCAGGCAAAGGGGTATGCTGCGTGAGCCCCTGCCCACCATAGATTTGCATCGCCTCGTCGATAACTTTGAGCAGCGCATTCGGCACCATAATCTTGCTCTGCGCAATAGCATACTTGCCCGCCTTGTTACCCTGCAGATCCATGGTATCCGCTGCGTTGAGAACGACCAGCCGCATTGCATCAATCGTCATGCGCATATCCGCTATCCGCTCGATATTACTGTCGAACTCACCGATGAACTTACCCCGCGGTTTCTTGCGCGGCTCCATGCATCGTACGAGTGCGAGTTCGAAGGCGCGTTCGGCTTGGCCTATGAGCCGCATGCAGTGGTGTATACGACCGGGACCCAGTCGCCCTTGAGCGATTTCGAAGGCGCGGCCTGGACCTAAGATGATGTTTTCCAGCGGCACCCGCACGTTCTCGTATACGTATTCGCCGTGGCCCTCAGGCGCCCAGTCGTAGCCCATTATGCTTAGATTCCTGATCTGCCGGAGGCCGGGAGAGTTGGCGGGTACGACGAGCGTTGTGTGTCTGTTCCAGGGATTGGGGTTGGATGGGTCAGAACACCCCATTAAGATGAAGAGTTGCATTTCTGGGTTGTATTGACAGTTGCCGTAGAGCTTGCGGCCATTGATGATGACTTCTTTGTCTGTGATCTCCATTTTTATGCCGACTTGGGTTGCGTCTGAGGAGGCGACATTGGGTTCGGTCATGCTGTAGGCAGAGGACATGTCGCCGTTCATGAGGGGGTGAAGCCATTTTTGTTTTTGAGACGGGGTGCAGTATTTTGCGAGGAGTTCGATGTTGCCGGTTTCTGGGGCGTGGCAGTTCATGGTCTATTTATAAATTCAGAAGTGTGCTTTGTTACTTGGTGTGTGGGAGTTTGGGAAGGTTGGGTTTACCTGCGCTGCCCAGTATACTCTTCCCATTATCTCTGCACAACATGAATACTCCAGATTCGTTAACCCAGGACTCTCAACGAAATGGTTCGGCAGAAATAGATTCCATAGTCCTTGCGCCTTGGCCTTTTTTCGCAGCTCGTGGATGATGGCTGGAGTCCCCCATCTCGTCTTGCTTGCGCTGAGTTGGGCTTTGTATATGCGCTCTGCTGGTATACACTCAGTCTCAACCCATTCGTATACTTGGTGTATCTTTGAGATTGCAATCGGGCGCAACTTTGCTTTGACCCATGGTGGTATGCGCGAGAAGGCTGGATGACTGTTGATGTCTATGTCCATGTTTGAGGATGTTGAGGGTGACATGAATGCGATCTACGATACGAGCATGCGTCGTGGGAAGAGGGAAAAGACGCGACTTGAACGTGTAAATCGAAAGTCATGACTACGATTCGCATGACTCGCTGTTGCATGCTGCATGCATACCAAAAGACGCGTTAGCGGCGCGCTCGGTTGAAGCCGAGGCTACTTTGGAGTTTTGGAGTCTGGCAGGATACTTCGGAATTGTTTAGGCGTGAAGGTGGAGAGCGGAGGTGGAGTCCCGCCCCCGCACAATGCAGTGTAGAAAGTCAGCGCTACTAGTACTACGCTTCCTGACTCATGACACTAACAACATCTGTGATGCTGGATTTGCGCATTGAACCATGAATAGAGATTGGACTCCCCAAGTACGATACTTGGCTATCTAGTTTCATGCCTGTGGAAATGGCATTTCCCCACATATGAGAAGTCACCGCTGATGTGGCGCCTCCTGGATATGGGTTAGCGGTGACATGCATACTTTCACAGAGGCCGGGTCTCTGCGGATTCAAACGATCATTCTTACATCTCAACAATAACAACAGAACGATCTCACTTCATGAGCAATGGCTAACGAGGGTTTTGCAAAGCCATGGCTAGAGGTTTGTACGAACCTCGTAACGGATCCCACAATCCATAGTGACCGATGTTCAGTTCGAAGAGGAATTCGGAGAGCGTATAATTCTGGAGCCGCCTCTCTCAAATTTGTTCCAACAATACACACGCATTGGGGAACTCATGGCAGCTAAATACGTGTTTCCTGCGCCAGATCCTTCTGTTAAAACAGAGGACACTGCGACGGAAAAAGGGCTCAAGCTGCGGATATACACACCTGAATCATACAAAGGCGGCAGGCCGGTGTGTATGTATTACCATGGTGGAGGTTGGGCCATGGGTAACATAGATGGTGAGGATCCTCTCAGCAGAGCTATTTCGAAGGCTGGCGATGTAGTGGTTGTTTCGGTTGAATATGGACTTGCGCCCCAGAATGCACATCCAGGATTAATGAACGAGTGTTACGAGGCTCTGCAATGGGCTTTGAGGAATTCACAGCGGCTGAACACCGCTGAGGGCAAGTTCCTCACGGCGGGCACTTCAGCCGGTGGACAGCTCGCGTTGGGAACTGCACTGAGGGCTATAGATGACGGACTAGCAGAGCAGCTCGTGGGTGTTGTTGCCCTTATGCCGGCAACAGTCCATCCCGATGGGGTACCGGAGGAGTTGAAGGCTAAGTATACAGCTATGGAGGAACATGACCTGCATACTCTGAACACCGCAGGTGCAATGCGGGCTTTCTGGGGTAACATGAAAACCCCATTTCTAGCCATGTGAAGTGCTAACATCATGTAGATGCTTTTGGTTCGCCGCCAACCGATTCGTATGGTTCCCCTCTCTTGCATTCTAGGATCAAGGATTTGAAGAAGGTGTACCTTGCCGTTGCAGGACACGATACGCTGAGAGACGATGGTTTGCTTATGAAAGAGAAGCTTGATAAAGCAGGGTATGCATAGCATATATGTACTTCTTTGACCAGTGTACTAATGATCCTCTAGTCTACCCAATCGGCTCGACATGTATAAAGGCTACCCGCACTTCTTTATGGCTTGGCCATCTTCGAAGCTTGATGAGCCGAGGAAGAAATTCTTTGATCAAATAATAGAAGGAGTGAAGTTTGTTCTAGGATAGGCAGCTATTTTCGTGTTTCATGTACAAACACAAAAGAATGTTTGCATACTATAGCGTTCTCCGAGTGGTAGATAAAGGACTCATAAGCTGTACCAAGCAAATCGGTCGTCTCGCAACTCTTACCCCACTGGTCAAACAACGGGCTTTTCAATTGATGTTCGTGCAAGATTGGCTTTTCTACTAGGACGAAAAACACTATATCAGGAACAAGCATGCTGTAGTCCGATCCGAAAACCGCCAAGTAGTGATTGTATCTGTAAAACTCTCGACCCCGCTTCCTACTCCCCGCAAGCGGACACTACCTAGTACACCCAGCCAATTACCGCTAGTTCATGACGTCGGACCCAATTTTCCGCTTATTTTACTCAATGATTGCAAGTCAGCAAGTAGCGTTCCGAACCACCAAGATGACTCGTAATATCACTTGCAGGCTTCCCATACCATACTAGCCAATTGTACGGAATGCCGGCAACAGATAGAACTTGTCCAGTTACAAATATAGCTGGAAACAGAACCACCTCAGTACTCCAACATATTTAGACTAAACCAGCAAAATATTAGTAAATAGACTGCAATCATGAAAGCCGGCCAATGGGACCCGTAAGTCCCTCCATCATACTCCCATACAATCCCAAGAATTCTCACATTCGCATAAGCAAACAACAAAAAGTCGTCATCAACGACATACCCAAGCCCACCCCAGAACCATACCAATTCCTCGTAAAAATCCAGTCCGCATCACTATGCCACTCCGATCTCGGAATGAGTCTTCGCCCAGACTACCCCGTGACCCTGGGCCACGAAGGCGTCGGGCACATTGAATCTCTAGGCTCCGAAGCCTCTGGCCACGGTTTCTCCGTCGGCGACGCCATCGGCTTCAACTACTTCACCGGCTGCTGCTACACATGCGATGGCTGCCAAGTGCACAATCTGCGGTGCGAGACGGGGAACCAGAAGCTGCAAGGGTTTGTGGCGGATGGGTTTTTCGCAGAGTACGCGGTTGTGGATTGGATGAATGCGGTCAAGTTGCCTGAGAATCTCGAGATGAGGAGGGCGGCGCCGCTTTTTTGTGCGGGGATCACGGCATTTCATAGCGTAGACTCGTGTGAGTTGGAGAAGGGTATGTGGTTGGCGGTTGTGGGGTGTGGGGGGCTGGGGCAGTATGCTGTGCAGTATGCTAAAGCGGTATGTTCTTTCCCTTACTTCTTGTTTTGTGTTTCGACTTTTTCTTTGGGAAAGAGAGATATAGCTGGATAGAAGACTGGCTGAACTCGCACAGATGGGTATCAAAACTATTGCCCTCGACATAAATGACTCTCAACTTGCCATGGCAAAGAAACTCGGCGCCGACGCGACTTTCAATTCTAAAACCAATCCAAACTATATACATGAGATCAAGAAACTTACAGATGGTAAGGGGTGTCATGCAGCGGCTATCTACTCCGGTTCAAACATGGCGTATGCTGGCGCGCCAGATCTCTTACGCACAGGAGGCTTGCTTATGATTGTCGGAATTCCACCAAAAGGCTTTGATTTCATCACTGCTTTTGATCTGACAACAGGCCGGTATAGGATCAAGGCTGAGAGTACGAGTATTCCGCAGAGAATGAAGAAGGCGGTGGATTTTACCGGGGAACATGGTATACAGCCTGAAGTCGATTATCGTAAATTGGAGGACTTGCCAAAGATGGTGGAGGATATGCAAAATGGTATGGCGGAGAAAAGGCAGGTTGTTGTGTTTTAAGTGCTAGGGAGAAGGGATAGTAATGTTAAGAATCATGCGTAGTGTAGATTTGTCGGAAAAATTCGAGATAATGAGTTGTCTTTTCGAAGTTTCTTTCCGAAATCGACAATGCCTCCTTCACAACTTGGCCTTGTTCATCTTTTCCGCGTCCTTTCTAGCCCACTCCTTGACAAGCTTCCTGATAATTTTGCCCGATGGTAATTTCGGCACTTCATCTACGAATACAATACCGCCCACAAGCTGTTTGTGCTTTGCCACCTTTTCCTTCATGTGCTTGTGAATGTCCTCCACAGTCGTCTTGCCCTTGTACTCCTCTTTTAGCGTAACATAAGCGCGGGGCCACTCTTGACTATCAATCATGATTCCCACAGCAGCTGCATCGGCAATGGGGTCAAACTGAAGTAATACTGCCTCGAGTTCTGCAGGCGCAACTTGTAAAGCATTCACTTTGATTAGTTCCTGCAGTCATGTTAGTACCTAACTGAGACGGACTTTATCCTTGCTTCGGTATTTAGTCACCTTCTTGCGATCCACAATCCAAAACCATCCCTTCTTCGCGACGGCAACATCGCCAGTTTTCAACCAGCCATCTGGCGACAGTGCTTCTCTCGTAGCTTCGGGGTTGCGCCAGTATCTCAGAAAGACTTGCGGTCCACGGATGTAGAGATCACCGGGCTGGCCTTCGGGTACTTCATTGCCGTCATCGTCAAGAAGCCTGGCCTCGCAGTTTGGATCTAAGTTGCCCACACTTCCGGAACTATTAATCGTTAACAGTGTTCAGGTTAGTTATAGTTTTTATCTTACTCATCTATCGTGCCACCAGTTACTTGCGTTCCTGCACAAGTGAGTTCAGTCATACCCCAGCCCTGTATGATCTCACAACCTAGCATCTTAGTTATCTCATTCTGGAGCTCCTTTGACAACGGCGCTCCACCGGACAAGATATCAGTGATACTACTTAGATCGTAGTTCTTAGTTTCCGGTCTCTTACTCAGCATAATCAAGATAGGAGGCGCGAGCTGGAGGTGCGTTATCTTGTGATCTTGGATGATTCTTAGGAACTCGGGATAGTCAAATTTCTGCATGATGTAAGACGGGACCTGGAGTTTCTGTCCCATGATCATAGTATACATCTGACCATAGGCGTGATACAATGGTAAGAAAGAGATCCATCTCTCAGCGGGTCGTGTGTTAGCGGTCCAGGGTTTGTTGGCAGATCGCATGAAGATGGTTTGCTCACTATTGGCGATCAAATTGAAATGGCTCACTTCGACACCTTTGGACAGCCCGGTAGTGCCAGATGAAAAGTTTACTGTTGCGGTGGTAGTAGTTGCTTCGTTTTCTGACAAAGTGGGAAATTCGTAGCCTTTCACTTCGGCCTGTGATGGAAGGAACTCTCTCCAGTCTCTACACCCTTCGACTGGTACACAAGGCTCGTCGGAAAACAGAAAGACGCGACCTTCTGGCAAACCAGCACTTCTGGCGGCTGCAACTGCCACTTTTATCAAACTGGGATGTGCGAGAAGAATTTGGGCTTGAGTGTTGGTAACCTGGTGTACCATCTCTAAGATCTGTTAGCCCATCACGGTAAACACGTGATACAAAAGACTTACCTGAGAGGGTATAGGCTGGGTTGCCACCGCTGAATATACGCTTTGATCCAACTATTCCAAGATATGCAACTGGGACAAAGATGTGATTTGGCGTGAAGATCATGACAACTTCTCCTGGTTTGCTACCAATTCGATCTAAGCCCACTGCCAATCTTTTGGTCCATTGTAGCATGGACCATGGTGTAAGATAGCGCTCTGTATTTTTTGAATCAATCCAGAGTGGTGTATCAGAGGGAGTCTTTTCTTGGGGAAATAGATAGTGCAGCACATTGCATTTCGGGATGGTTAATGCGGGGAAAGGCGACGAATAAGGCATGTTGGCGGGTGGCAGCGGGATGCACGCTCAATTGGGTCGATGTAGACTACGACAGCTATTTAGAAACGGACGAACCCAGAGATTGGCAAGAGAAAATGAGTTCATAAGCGGTCAATGCTGTAGTCCAAGAACTACGTGGTTTGTTAGCTGCAGCAGCCACCTCACATGACCAGCTGTGGGACACCCGGACCGCACAGACCGCACTCCTTGTTGCCGAGGGTAAGTACCTGGTTATCGAACTCCACTGACCGAGCTCCTCAGGGTAGGACTATCTTTGTCTAGTACGCACCTTATCAAGTATGGCATGTTGATAACCCATTCCTCCGTCACTTTCTGTAGTTTGTTCCCAATTGGGCAAAATCCATCATGTCTGATATCAAGGACTTCAACCGCATGTTCAGTCTTGACGGCAAGGTCGCTTTGGTCACAGGAGGTAAAGTTAAACAAGATTTCATGGCTTGCAATCTTTACTCAGATTCCCAGGTTCTAGGGGATTGGGTCTGCACACTGCGACTGCATTTCTCCTCGCTGGAGCAAAGAAGGTTTTCATCTCCGCGCGTAAGAACGAAGGAGAGCAGGGCATTGACCAAGCCGTCGAGAAACTCAACAAATTGCCTGTTGCTGGAATTGCAGTCGGTATCGCCGCTAATGTCGCAGATACTGAGGACATAGAAAGATTGGTAAGAAAGGTGCAGGAGACCGACGACAAGTTAGATATCCTTGTGTGCAATGCGGGAGCCACTTGGGGTGGCCCTTTCGATCCCACGCCAGATTGGGCGAGTCAGAAGGTTTTGGACTTGAATGTCCGCGGCGTCTTCAATCTTTGCAGACTGTGCGTGAGAAATGAGAACCGCCACATGCACATCTACTAAAACTATCAGGTTCGCGCCTCTATTGGAGCGCGCTGGCACTCGCGTCTCCCCTTCTCGCATCATTATCGTATCCTCAACGGCTGGAACGACTGTGCCTCATGTAGGAGAGCATGGGACTATCATGTATAGTATTTCCAAAGCAGCTGCACATCACTTGTCGCGACAGCTAGCAGTAGAGCTTGGACCGAGGAACATCACGACAAATACCGTCGCGCCTGGCTTCTTCCCTTCAAAGCTTGCTAATGGCTTGATTGACATACTAGGTGGACAGAAAGAGCTAGAAGAAAGCAATCCTAGGAAACGATTAGGAGAAGCCTCAGACATTGCTGGAGTGATGGTATTCTTATGTAGTCCTGCGGCAGCGTATATCAATGGAGAAGATATAGCTGTAGACGGTGGAGTGAGACTGGCAAGTGGACGGTATTCAAAGATATGAAAATTGATTTCTTTCTAATCGCACAGATGTGTTGTCCAATCCCTACTTGCTTTTGCCTTCAATCCTCGCCAGCTGTTTTGTCATACTAGTATTCGTCATCATCTTCTTCATATTGTCATCGCAGTACTCGGGCCCATCCCTGAAGTAAAAGTTCCTTCCGTTAACCTCCACCGTCAATCCCCAAATTTTATTCTTACTCTTCGTTATCCCCTTCGCATCTTTCATTTCTGCACCTTCAACTAGCTTCATGACAGTATCAGCGACCGTCTCAACTGGTGTAAAATACTCGACCGGGAAGAATTTCCACTCTTCCTCCGACATCAACGCCGTTTTGATAGTTCCAGGGCAGATGGTAGATGTGCGTATGCCTTCATTGTGATATGCCACTGCGATTGCACGATTGAAAAGTATCAATCCAGCCTTGCTTCCACTATATATGGGACAGAACTCGCTCGGATACAGGCCTCCGCACGAGGATGTCATGATCAACACAGGATCCAATTCATCGCCTTCATTCCTGGCATTGGTCTTCCGGAAATAGTGCAAAGCGAGATACGAAGTATCAACCACGGCTTTGTAGTTTATGTCGGTACTGAACTTGTTTGGTGGTGGAGGAGGTGGACCATTGAGATCATGCTTTGCGTAGAAGTTGTCTCTTTCCACGATGCCGGCATTTGCAAATACGAAGTCGAGGCGTTCGGCGTTGCTCCAGGTTACCTCGAAGGCAGAAATGAGGGACTGATAGCTTGTAACGTCGGCTTGATGAAAGAAGGCGTTCTTTAGCTCAGATGCTGCTTTTTTGCCTGCTTCGGCGTTTTGGTCGACTATGTGAATGTCCCAGTTTTCGCTTGAGTGGTTTGAGAGGGCTTTCGCAGTAGCGAAACCTATTCCCGACGCCCCGCCAGTGATTAGAGCAACTTTTGTAGGCATCTTAGCAAGTATCTTCTATGTGGTATATCCCTTTTTTGGATGTCAAGAGAGTTTGAACAATAATCAACGCATTTTGCAACACCAAGGTTTTTCACGAGGTACGAGACATATCTGGTGTAGTACAATATTCTTTCTCAGCATCAAGGAAAGGGGGGGCATCTTCCGGGAATAAGCAAATCCTGCTACCAACAATCAAGTGCTGTCCATTCCTTGAGCTTGCAATACTACGTAATTTCCCATTCTCCCCAAGTCATCATCGCTATCCCTTGCAATGTTTTCGCTGCAAGATGTTGGTGCTATTCCAAAAGGAACATCTCCAATTCATTCCCTGCCATGACTCTCGAATATGTACGAGTAATTCATCTAGCGACTCAAAGACAGGAACGTAGCCGTCCAGTGTGGGATGTCCCATAGCATGACAGGGTGGTGTGCGGGGAAAGTGGAGTAGATGACTCGCTACTGTATGTCATGACGGCAGCGGAAAACAATGCGCGAGCAAGTTCAACACCAGCCGGAGCCTTGACTCTACACCCATCAAGTTGTTGCCAAGCCATTTTCTCCACTTGCAGTGCTGCCCACAGCTGCACATGCATTTGTTCAGGTCAGCCGGGACTGGCCATCATCAGGCCCAATGCCACTTGGGTCAAGTTGTGCTACGCTCGCTTGGAACTGCATGTTCTCATCCAGTCGCACCATTCAGAACGAGAAGATCTAACCCCAGCTTTAATAACCCCTCTTAAATTCTTCTGCATTGAATTTCTTTGCTTATCCCTTCGTCGTTTGCTTTCGCTGTAATATTCCAACAGTGCCTTGCTCACCATGGCATTCCAGTACTCACCAAAGAATCTTCCCAAACAGATATTCATTAACAATGAATATGTCAGCTCTAAGTCTGCTAAGAAGCTCACAATACACAACCCCAAGAATGGCGAGCTCATTGCCGACGATGTACCTCTAGCGGGCGAAGAAGACGTCGACGCCGCTGTCGATGCCGCTGAGAAGGCATTTCCTGCATGGAAGAAAATGAGCGCCACTCAGCGGAGAGGCATACTGAACAAATTCGCTGACCTGATCGAGAAAAACGCCAATGAAATCGCACAGCTAACGAGAATATCGTTGGGTTCGCCAGCGGCGTTTGGTGCCTTCGAAATTGGGCTATGTGCTGAGGTAGGTCACCTTGCAGTAACAATTTCTAACGATTCAAACTAAAATATCTGACTCTTCGACAGACTTTCAGATACAATGCTGGATTCATTGATAAGTTTGGCGGAGAGTCATGGCCTCAAGAAGACGGTTTCCTCAAGATAGTTCGGTATGGCCATGTCCACTTCCCATGTTGTTCGAAAACTGACACGACTCCAGCAATGAACCATTAGGCGTTGTAGCAGGGATAGTACCTTGGAACGGTCCCATTGGCACGATAGGCCTTAAAGCCGCACCAGCACTCGCAACAGGAAACTGCTTCATTCTCAAGCCCTCTGAGAAAACGCCATTCTCCTCTCTTGCTCTCGGTACACTCATCAAAGAAGCCGGTTTCCCGCCTGGCGTTTTCCAAATCTTATCTGGAGATGGCAGCACTGGCGCCCTCATCGCCAGCCACATGCAAATCCGCAAAGTAAGTTTCACAGGCTCCATCGCCACGGGCAAGAAGATCCAAGAGATGGCCGCAAAATCCAATCTTAAGCGCGTCACACTCGAGCTAGGCGGAAAGTCTCCAGCCGTAGTCTTCGACGACTGCAATCTGGAAAACGCGGTGAAATGGACAGCCGATGCTATCACAATGAACACAGGCCAGGTGTGTTTCGCTGCTAGCCGCGTGTACGTGCAAGAAGGCATTTACGATACGTTTATCGAAAAGTACAAGGCTGCTATGAAGGAGAAGGTCAAAGAGATTGGAGATCCAGATGAGACGTCCACGAATATTGGGCCTCTTGTCGACGAAGCTCAATTCAAACGCGTGCAAGGCTTCATCGAGCGCGGCCAAGAAAAGGGCCACGGTACGCTCGCTGTTGGCGGCAACCGCGTTGGTAACTCAGGATACTACATCGAGCCTACAGTCTTCACAGATGTGGACGCAAAGTCTGAGCTACACTGCGAGGAGATCTTTGGCCCGGTTTCGGTGGTCAAATCGTTCAAGACGGAAGAGGAGGTTATGGCGTTGTCGAACAACACTAATTTCGGGCTCATGGCTGGCGTCTTCACAACGGATATTAATAGGGCGCTGCGTGTAGCGAGTGATTTTGACAGTGGCATGGTGGGCATCAACTGTGTCAGCTTGATGTTTATGAACACGCCGTTTGGAGGAAGCAAGGAGAGCGGGCTGGGTAGGGAGTGTGGCATCCATGCGCTCAGGGCGTTTACGGAGCCGAAGACTATCATGATCAACATGAATTTCTAGATTGTTCAGCGTAGGCTCAACAGACGTTTAGTCTGTTGCGGCATGGGTAGCGATCTATATCAATAAGCTTGGCTTTTTAATATTATTGAATGTTGTATGTTGTAATAATGTTTTATCTGTCCACCGATTCAGTGTTGACTAGGCCACGCGCTACGGTATAATTGAAACGTTCAATTTAAGTACACTAGTACCTACGATACTACGTTCCTACGGAATCAGCTTTGCCTTGCGCATCCTGTCGAACACTGCCCACCACGCCTCTTTCGGTGTCCTCTCCTCCGTAAATCCCGTACTGTAGATCTTTGTTAAATCGAAATGCCTATCAAAGTCGAAAGTGGTCATGAGAAAATGCTCAGAGATCTGCATTCCACGGCCACTATCAATGTGTCCGCTTTGCAGCCCGTACTTCTGCTCCGTCGCCAGCCAAGTGTCCATGTTGTCGTTGATAAACTTGCGCATGTCGATTGGTTCAGCGAGAGGCTCCGTAGCCTCGAGACCAAAGTACGAACAGAGAACAGGCCATTTGACCTCCCAATTGTATGGCGTCTTGGAGTCTCCGAGGTTATAAACAGCACCCTTGGTGGTGGAGGGAGAAAGTGTAAGATGAATTGTTTGATGTGCAATCATATCACTGCTCGCGTCGTTACTCAGGGCCTTCCAGGTTCCTACCGTGCCAGGAAATGGACATTTTGCTCCCTCGCCATGGACTGCCTTCCATACGCTTAGGTAAAATGCTACCGACGTGGCAATGGAGTAGTAGTTCTTATTTGGCACGAAGCCTATGACGAGATCTGTTCTGGTTTCAATGAAGCTCCATTTCTTGTCTTTGGCATATTTCGTGATGAAGTCTATCTGCGCGTGGTAAAATAAGTTCTCGGCATGTGGGCTGGGTATAGGCGGGGCTGATTCGGAGAGGGGAGGCGAGGGAAGAGCAGGAGCCGACGAGCCAGGGGGAATCGTCGACTCATACCAAGAGAGGTTGGCGCGGAGATGACAACCATCTGCCAAGTCAGTCTATGTCCTGCTCTATAGTTAGTCAGAATGTATGACTTACAGATTTTAGTCCCAATCTGCAGCACAATGAACTCAAGTGCTGGACATAGCTTGTCAACTGCTTTGACTGCTTTTGAGAACATTTCCAGTGCCTCATCGATTTCCTTCTTTACATCCATGCCTGCTTTATATGCAAAATAGTATACATGGGTTATCTCCGCGACATCGGGAATCTTCTCCACCAATTCCTTCTCAAGACTCTCTTGGCTATGGGCGAGCAGGTCGACACCAGAGACCATATTGAGGCGAGGGTCTTCCGGCCATAGCGCTTGAGAGAGGGTAATTGGACGGTTCGAGAGAGCGTGAGCGCGCTTCCAGGTGCCCTTTGCAGGATAATCGGAGAGGATCTCATTGATGAAAGACCAGCCTGTTTGGTTGCACGTAAATCAGTGTGCTTGGTCACCACATGAACTGTCTTTACTGACCTGTTACGCCCGAGGCGCCAAATACGAGCGCAGATTTTGACATTGTTCAATGGATGTGATGGGGTTGCGTAAACAATTGGAGAGAGAGATGAAAGTTTGTTGCCACTTTAGCTCTATACTCCTACAGCTATTCCAGGGATATTCTATCTCATCTGTCTGATGTTTGCTAAGATGTTGCCAGCGTATTTTTTTAGGTCGCGCCAGGCCACGTTGTTAGCAAGAGAGGTTAGCTAGAGCAGCTAAATTGACTAGCAGGGCATCAAGCAGCTAGGGCAACCAGACGAGTCAAGCAGTCAGCATTCACACCAACAAGTAGTGAGGGGAATATGTAGTTCAACGTGCAACATTCAACGCTCCTTACGAGCTGTCAGTATGATGTTGCAGAGAGCTCAGTTCGCAGTATGCCCTTCAATGGTATCATATGCTGATGCTATTCTAGAACCAAGGACGATAGATGGCGGGGCCAACGATGATACTAGTGCAACATCAAGCCCGGGCGAGTTACTAGTAGTCGATCGCTTAAGTTGCCCGAGTAAATGAGCCGAACTGAGGCCGTTTTGCATGCCTTGTCATGTTTACCCAATAATTTCTCCAGCTACGAAGATGTTTCATAGTATGCAGGAAGCTGCGATAATAGTGTAAGACTAACTGTTGAGTATCTCGGGCCCTTACACAATTAGCGGCTAGAAGGATTCCGTACTAATAATCGAGGAAAGTATTTCGCCTACGAGTAGTTAATTATAATTCACTACGCCGGATGAGAAATTCAATGTTACGAAGACAGACTGCGCAAGTTTCGCATGCTTCCAAAGTTACAAAAATGGCAACTTGTTCTTTTGGGAATGAGGTCAGAAATACAGCTTCAAGTAATATTACTGTAATCTGTGCATGATCACATAAAGTAGAACCTCACGCTCCCGGACTTCGTACACACCTTGTTTCTCGAGCAAACATCCATCTTGACCATTATGTTGAACATCAAATATACTTCACTGAAAAGAAAAGGCAAGGAATTAATAATGCAGCACCGTAAGGTACTAATAACCTCAGTCTCAGATCGATGCGCCTAGGTTTGTTGATATGCCATTGGTCCAACACAGTGTACTCCGTAGTCTACCCTGTTGAGTTTTTATTGGCTGGAACGCCGAAGCAAACGACTGACAATAGCTCCTGTTTATTCTTGCAACCCTAATGGTCACCTTGGCTGTAAGAGCATTCATCACACCA